TTTCTTTTACCTTTTGTCGGTTTGTACACGGAGCCACAGAGAGAAGCAAGGAAGAGAGGGAGAGAAAAAGGAAGAAACGAAGAACCGCCCACGCTTTGCACCGCCTACGCTTCTGCAGAGTAAGAAGCGGCGATTCGATCACACGTTTGAACCTCAAGATGAATGGCGCCAACCTAAGTGGCCGAGACGCGTTTACTGAGGGAAAAACTGGATTTTAACTCGGTATCGAGCCTCGTAATTCGAATCGTAATTCGCTCGTGGAAATCGAGAAATCGTGGAACACGAGCAGCTGAAGTATCGTGCGTTAAAAGAAAGAAAGTTTGGTGTATCGAAAAGGTTCGTATGCGTGAAAAAACGGTTAGTTTTAACGCTGCTCTTGTTTCACAGTGATATCCTATCCTCCTCTCCGTCGTGATTCCACGTCTTTGAGCTGTTCTGTTCGCGCGAAACGTGCTTCGGGGGTCGCTTTAATTTTGAATTAACGCGCGCCTCGCGCCACGACGTTTCTAAGCCGGCCCAAGTGTCTCTCTCGCAAAGGGCAGATTTTCCAGCCAAGTGGATCACTTGCACGAGATTCTCGCCTCTTTGCGCAGTCTGACCCCGTATCGGGTAACGCGAGAATAATTGAACGAAAGATTAAGATTCTGCTCGGGGCTACATTCGGACTCTCTCGAAAAAGATGGCCTCGTTAGAGACCGTTTGCCCGAGCTTTCCGGTGTGGCCGGTCGCTAATCGTTGCCATTCCAGGATTCCTCAGGGGGAAACCTCGACGGGTAGAGAAGGGTTGGCCGCCTCGACCTTAACCATCAAAGATTCACCGAGTCTCGCACGCGCCTCTGCGGCGTGGCCACAATCTCGCGCCAACCCTAAATCCTCTACCAACCCTCTTCGTATATTTCGAAACCAAGGATTGTAACCAACATCCGCTGTTACGTCCCCTGCCGACCTGTCCTTCCTTCCGTCCTGTCTCCTTCTTCTTCTTCTTCTTCTTCTCCTTGGATCATCATCCGGAAGTTTCCAAGTTTCCACCTATTGTCACGGTATTCTCAGATATTCTCCGTAAACTTTTGAGTCGAACTGGGTTACCCGTTAAATTACCGGGGTACAATCGATACGATCGATTACCAGATTAGAATACACGGAATGTATTGAGGCGCGTCGTCGTGAACTCTTTGAACAGGGTTAATTAAATGCAGATAAAATATCCGGAGCGAAACGAATTACAAACATTCGTAGGAAGCCGATCTGTTCATTGCTCGACTTGCAACAGTACACTTGAAATGGGAGCCGATTCGATACTACCGTAATCAGAGCTTATCGCGTCGTATAATAATTCTAATGAAACGGGAGAGGGATCCCTCAAGATGAATGTCTAAGGAAGGGCAATTAATCGGGCGAGCATTGAACCATGCTTTCTTCGGCCAAGCGTCTTGACCGATGTTCATCGTCAGATTTTTTTCACGATGCGTATTTGATAATCTTCCATCTTTGAGATCTTGTTTCCACGGACAAGGATCTTTTCTCTCGAAACGATCCAGTCTCGATCGACTGGAAACGGAGAGGTACGGCGATAATCCGTAGGGAAATATTTTATGGGAAGGATGATTTACGGCGCGAAGGCTTTTATATCGAGGGCGCGTGTCGATTCGTGCTGCGAGATTGATAAATTCGTTTCCAACGTTACTTCCCTATTTTATTATTACGTCGATGGTTGTATCGATGGCTCGTTGCGTGGACGATCGTCGAGAAAATTGTAAAATCCATCGCGGGTGTGAACGGACCGACGTCTTGAATTTTGCTCGACGAACCTCGAAATTCACAATTCGATTCGCGACGATACGAGATTTCTATTCGAACGAGAAGTTAAATCGTTCCTCTCGCGCGTATTAAATCAATCGTGTTTTATCGTATTGTTTTTCCTCGCATATTTTCTCTAACATTTTCCCCTATTTTTCTTTCACATTTTTTCCCCCCCGTCGAAATATACCCAACATTTTATACAACGGCTTAAAAACACACGTGTTTCGTTGTACGTTCGCCATTCAAAAATCTATCCACTCGCGAGTCAAATCGTTGACCACGAAAATCCATTCCGACTCTCTCCTATAATCTTCGAAATCTAGAACGCTCTCAAAGCAGGGGAGAAGGTACAGATTCATTTGGTAGGAAAAGACAGGTATGTTTCGTTTCCGCGCGCGTTCAAAGCGAAATTGCCGGCGAGTCGAGCGAAGTGATTTTCCCTATCGATTCGACCACGTCATATCGTGTTTCTAATCCGAAATAAAAATTCTCGCGTCCCTTTCGAGGCTCTCTCGCGCAAAAAAGTCCCGGACAATTCGTCCGACTAGACACGGTCACGTTCCACTCGAGCGTTAATTCGATGCAAGAATAGAGACGAAAACTGGCGGATAAGAGAGGAGGAGGGGGAGGAAGGGCGGAAAGAGGGTTCAGAACGATCCTTCCAAGTGTCTTCCCTAACTACCTGCGACGAATTAAGGGAGAGGCAAGCAGCGAAATTAAAAGAGTAGCGAGGAAGTCGAGGGATTCGGCACGTTCCAATTATTTGCACGAGCCGTGCGCGAGGACCAACCGTGGCGTCGACTTCCTCCTTTTTTTTCCCCTCTCCTTT